CTGACCATGATAAAGGTAATATATAAAAATCCCATAGCTAAGATCATATTCAGTAGTGAAAGACTGACAGCTTTCCCCTAAGATCAGGAACAATCAAAGATGCCCTATTCTACTTAACATAGTACTGGAAGTTCTAGACAGAGCAATTAGGTAAGAAAAAAAGGCATCCAAATTGGAAAGGAAGAAGTAAGTTATCTCAGTTTGCAGATGACCCAATCTTATGTGTAGAATTCACACACACAAAAAACTGTTAGAGCTAATAAAGGAATTCAGCAAAGTTGCTGTATGCAAAACCAACATGCGAAAATCAGCTGTATTTCTATACACTAGCAATGAACAATCTGAAAAGAAAATTTCAAAAAAGAATTCTATTTACAACATCAAAAAGAATAAAATATTTAAGATTAAATTTATACGAAAAGGTAAAAGACTTGTATACTGAAAACTACAAAACATTGCTGAAAGAAATTAAAGAAAACTTAAACAAATGGAGAGACATTCCGTATTCTTGAATTGGAAGACTTAATATTGTTAAGATGACAATACTACATGTATTAGTTTGCTACGGCTGCTATAACAAAATATCACAGATTAGGCAGCTTAAATAACAGAAATTTACTTTCTCACAATTCTGGAGGCTAGAAGTTCAAGATCAAGGTGTCAGTGGGTTTGGTTTCTGAGGTCTCTCTCTTCGGCTTGCCAATGGCTGCCCTCTCGCTGTGTCCTCACGTGGCCTTTTCTCTGTGTCTCTTTGCGTGTCCAAATTTCCTCTTTTTATAAAGACTCCTTTCAGATTGGATTATGGCTTACCATAATGGGCCCCATTTTAACTTAATCACCGGTTTAAAGGCCATATCTCCAAATACAGTCACATTCTGAGTTACTAGGGTTAAGGCTTCAACATACACATTTTTGGAGGACACCATTTAGCACATAACAGGACCCAAAGTGATATACAGATTCAATGCAATCTCTATTAAAATCCCAGTGGCATTTTTACAGAAATAGAAAAACCCATCCATAAAACTCATATGGAATTGCAAGGGATCCCCAATAGCCCAAACTATCTTGAAATAGAAGAACAAAGTTGGAGGACTCAGATTTCCTAATTTCAAACTGCAAAGCTACAGTAATCAAAACAGTGTGGTACTGGCATAAAGGCAGACATATAGACCAATGTAATAGAATACAGAACTCAGAAATAAACCCTCATGTACACAGTCAATTGACTTTTGACCAGAGTGCCGAGACCATCTATTGGGGAAAGGACACTCTTTCCAACAAATGATGCTGGGAAAACTGGATATCCACATGCAAAAGAATCAAGTTGGACCCTTACCTTATACCATATACAAAAGTTAACTCAAAATGGATCAGATTCCTAAATTTAAGAGTTAAACTATAAAACACAGGAGGAAATCTCGACCTTTGATTTGGCAATGACTTCTTAAATATGATACACAAAACACAGGCAACAAAAAAAATAGATAAATTGGACTTCATCAAAATTAAAAACTATTGTGAATCAAAGCATACTATCAAGAGAGTGAAAAGACAACTCATAGAATGGAAGAAAATCTTTGTAAATCAATTATCTGATAAAGATTAATGTCTAAGATATAAAAACTCCTAGAACTCAACAACAAAAAACCACAAACAACCCAATTTAAAAATGGGCAAAGGACTTGAATAGACATTTCTCCAAAGAAGATATATAAATGGCCAATGAGCACACGAAAAGATGTTCAACATCATTAGTTATCAGGAAAATGCAAATAAAACCCACAGTGAGATATCACTTCATACCTATTAGGATGGCTAGAATAATTAAAAAAACAAACAAACAGATACAACAAGTGTTGGTGAGGATGTGGAGAAATTGGAACCCTCACACATAGCTGATGGGAATGTAAAATGGCTAAGTGGAAAACAGTTTGTTGGTTTCTCAAAAAGTTAAATATAGGATTACCATATCATCCAGCAGTTCTACTCCTAGGTATGTTACTCAAAAGAATTGAAAACATGTTCTCAAACAAGTACATATACATGCATGTTCATATCAACACTATTCACAAAGCCAAAAGGTGAAAACAGCCCAAATGTTCATCAATGAATGAATCAATCAATGAATGGTAAGCAAATCGTGGTCTATCCATACAATGGAATATTATTCAGCCACAAAAAGGAATGAAGTACTGATACACGCTGAAACATCTATAAACCTCAGAAACATCACACTAAGTGAAAAAACCCGGAAGCATAAGGTCACATATTGTATGATTCCATTTATATGAAATACCCAGAATAGGTAAATACACAGAGAAAGAATGCAGATTGATGATGACTAGGGGCAAAGAAAAAGAAAAGAAGGGGAAGCAACTGCTTAAGGGGCATAGGGTTTCCTTTTGTTGTGATAAAAATATTTTGGAGGTAGACAGAGGTGGTATTTGCACAACATTGTGAATGTACTAAATGCCACTGAATTGTTCATTTTAAAATGGTCAATTTTTAATTAAAGAACACAAAAAGTTAGGAATCATTTTTTCCATGTTAGGAATATTTAGTATAGTATGAGATTCAGGATAATTCTTCCTCTGTGTATTAGTAGAATAATCCTCTTTCACATTTTACATATTTTCAATTTAAAACAGTGATTAGAAAAAAGTAACTATAAACTCTGAAAATTATTTGTGGATGAATAATTGCTTAAATTTTAATTTTTCTTTCTTGAAAAGAAAACATGTTATTATAGCAAATTTTGTTGTTCATCTCAACAACAAAATAATGATATATACATATCATTATTTATGTATGTATAAAACAGTATGGTATTTACCAAGAATAAATGTAGACCAGTAGAATATAATAGATGGCTTAAAATACGTCTGAATATTGAAGAGATTTAATATAAGACACGAATGTCTTTCATTTCGTTTGTTTAATAAATGGTTCTGGAAAAATTGACTATGAGGATGAAATCAACTTTAGATCCCTACTTCACACCATATGTGTGTGTAATTCAAGGTTCACCATATGTGTGTGTAATTCAAGGTTAACAGAAATTACATGTGCAAAAACACAACTATGTTATCAAAAAAAATTTGGAGAATATTTGTTTTACTTCGGCATGGAGAGAACTTCCGAAACAAGATACAAAACACAGACGTCTGTGGAAATTAATAAAACAAGCCTCAACTAAATTGGAATCCGGAAGGCCTGTAGGGGGAGTTCTCACGCTCTATCACACATCGTCAAGGACTCCAAACCGGAAGAGACGTACACTTGCATTTTCTTGCATCTTCCCATAGGAAGTACAACTACTTTACCACTGAAAGATTTCTCTCCGCACCTGGCAGCAGACCAGCCAATAAGAAACACTGCAGCTCAGCCAATGAGAAGCCACTGCCTCTTTGAACTGTTACTTTTCCCCAATGGATCTTCCTAGCAAGTAGCACAGCCCCTTCCTACTCCCCCTTTTCTCTATAAAAGCAAGCTTTCCTCTTTTGTTTTCCCGGCTTTGCCTATGGTTTGGCCATAGCATGCACATCCAGATTTGCAATTCTTTTGGCTACTACCCAATAAACTCATTTTGAGGATAAAATAACAGGCAAATTTGCTTTTTAAGTTGTCACAAAGAGAAAGTTACACAAATTTTACTATATGAAAATTAAATTTTGCACTGCAAAAGATAAATAAATAAATTCAGAAGATAAACAATAGACCAAAGAAGATAATTGTAACACATTTGCCAAAATGTTTTTATCTCTAACATGCAGAAGTGCCTAAAAATTTATAGGAAAATGCAACCACCCCACAGAAAATTTCAGAGAAGAGGAAATCCAAATGTTCAATAAACACAGGAAAGGAAGCTTAACCTTATTAGCACAGAAATGCAAACTAAAGCAACAAAAAGCTAGTGCTTGTCCCCTATCAGACTGACAAAGGAGGGGGAAGCTATACAGGCCAGTAGCAGTGATGCTGCCAGCGCTCTTTCATTGCTGGCGGAACTGTGAACTGCCACAACTTTGGAAAGCAATCTTCTGATAGCTACTATAATAAAAAACATGCATATCTTGACTGAGTAATCTTACTTCCTAGGACCTGTCCCTTAGGAATAAAACAATTGTATTCAAGGAAATGCATTTAAGGATCTTCATTGTAGAATTGTTAGCAGTGGCAAACAAAGAAACAAAAATAAGCCAAATATCAACATGGGAACCCTTAAATGAATTGTGGTATATTCATACTGTGGAATATTATGCAGCCAGTTTTTTTTTTAAGCGTCAGAAATATGTCCATTGATCTCCAGAGATGTCTTAATGTATTGCTATAAAGCCCCTTGCTTTTTAGAAAATATGTACAGTATCATCCAGTTTTTGTTTAAAAACTTTTTAAAAAGACCCTACTTATTTTACATATCCATTCATTCACTCATTCAGCAAATATTTATTGCCTACCACGTGCTGGGAATACAGTAGTAAAGAAAACCGATAAATATCCCTACTCTCATGGAGCTGATATTCTAAATGATGGAGACAGTGGGTTTGAGAAAAAGTGGAGATGTTGAACAGGCAGGTGTGATATATATGGAGGAATCAGAAGTAGGGATAGAAAACTGGGAATCCTCTGCATATATGTGGTATTTGAAGCCATAAGATTGGATGATTTTTGTAAAGTTTGTGCGTATTTGTATACGCTTGGAGAAAATGTACTTGGAGAGAAGGATATACTGAGAGACTGGAGAGAAAGACCTAGTTTCGAATCTCTGCTGTTAGTCCTTCGGAAGGTTACCTGGCCTCGCAAAGCCTGTCTATAGGATGGGAGGAATAACCACTACCACCACCTCTCGGCTTAGAGAAGCTACCGCGAAGGTGGAACCTCCAAGACAAAAACTTAGCGTCCCGAACGCCCAGGCTGAAGCCAGGGCAGCCATATTGACTGCGGGCGGCGAGGAGGCGTTGCGACCGCTCCCATTTTCAGTTAGGGCAGGAGGCGACTTCGGTCACCATCTTGAGTGACAGCAGAGGCGGAGCTCCGACCGACAGGTTCATGAAGGGCCAAGCTCCGAGGGCGCCTCCCCGACAGCGATTGAGCGCGAACCGCGGTGGGCGGAGGCAGGCGGCCGTGGCCCCGCCCCCGGGCCTGGGCCCCGCCTCCCGGCCCCACTTCCGCCGGGCGAGCGTCGGCCGGCGGCGCTGCCGTAAGTCGGGCCGGCGGTTTGCCGCATCACGAAAGATGGCGGCCGCGGCGGTGAACGGGGCCTCGAACTCGGGGCCTGCGGCGGCCTCGGGCGCGATCCTGCAGGCCGCGGCCGGCATGTACGAGCAACTCAAGGGCGAGTGGAACCGGAAAAGCCCCAATCTGAGCAAGTGCGGGGAGGAGCTGGGCCGGCTCAAGGTAGGGCTGGACGGGGGCGCCCCGAGTGGTCCGGACCAAGCCGAGCTCCGGCCGCGGGGAGGCCGCGCTGCCGACGGGACCCGGGCGGGGTGGGGACCCAACAGGGTGAAGGATTCGGATCAGCCCACGTGCGGGCGTGGAGGGGGGACGAAGCGGGAGGGGCCCGGAGCGGACCAGTGCGGCCCCGCGGTGGGATGATGCAGAGGTTCCCGCACAATCGAGTGAGAGGTTAAAATTTGGGGGCCTGAAGGCCTGGCTGGCTGGGGTGGCAGGCTGGGGGTGTCGGAGTTTTCCTAATGGCGGGTTCTGGACGACACCAAGTGTAGAATGAGGCCTGGACGGGGTGTTGAAAGGCGGGTGCTGAGATGATGGAGTGTGATGGTTAAGACCAGGCCAGGTTGGGGTCTGAGAGATTTGGGGCTTAGGTGGGGGGCCAGCTAAATTATGAGCGCAGGACTAAACCTAGAAAAATAATCTTATCATAGAGGACCGGAATGGGGCTCAGGGTGCTTCAGACCAAGTGTGTTTGGGAAACAGTACACACACAGTGGGCTGGAGCAAGTTGCTGAGGGGGTGTGCGGGCTGGGCTGTGGGGGGAGGTCAGCGCCCCTCCCTCCCTGTTGTAGATTTGGGGGCGGGGGTGGAGCTGGGCCCAACCCAGCAGAGTGTGGGAAAGGTCTGCTGAGAACTGAAGGTGCTCGTGTCCCCCAGCGCCTGGTGTCCATTGGGTCAGGCAGGGAGCGTGTCTCCTGTTTTCCCAGTGAGGCTGTGAGTAACTGTAATCTGAGGTCATCCTAAATGGGCACTCACAGTGTACCCAGGCCGTTCTGGGTACTTTCTGAGGACTGATGCCTTTAATACTCAGAATAACTATGAGTCAGGGATGATGAGGAGCTCCATCTCCTAGGTGGAAAACAAGGCCTAGAAGAGGTAAGTAACCTGTACTTGAAATCCCCTCCTCTTTCCTTCCTTCCCTGTCCTCCTCGTCAGCTGGTTTTGCTGGAGCTCAACTTCCTGCCAACCACAGGGACCAAACTGACCAAACAGCAGCTCATTCTGGCCCGTGAGTGTCACTGGACTTGGAGGCGGGTTACATACTGGGGGTGGTGGCATGAATCGCAGCAGTGGTGGTCAGGCAAGGGACTCAGTCACTTCCTGAGAACCCACCCTGTCACCCACAGGTGACATCCTGGAGATCGGGGCCCAGTGGAGCATCCTGCGCAAGGACATCCCCTCCTTCGAGCGATACATGGCCCAGCTCAAATGCTACTACTTTGATTACAAGTGAGGATGGGCCCTGCCGCTGATGGGGGGTGGGGCTTGTTACATGGCTGCTCTTGTATCCCTGGTGCTCCAGCCTCTGGGGTCATCTCCCTTCACTTGGGAACTCCCCCTTTGCCCAGCTCCATCCCTAGAGGCTGCAGGTCCTGAGTCTGGGATTGTACCATCCCAGCTCTGTTGGCCTCCCCTCTGTCTCCCCTTCTACCTTCCCACACTACATTTCCACTCCAGAGTGTGGCCACCATCACCTTTCACCTGCCCTGGCCCCAGCCTTGCCCCCTTGGATTCATCCGCCTTGGCAACCAGTAGGATCTTTGTGACACTAAAATTTCACCATGTTGATCCCCTGCTTAGAACCTGTCATGGCTCTCCATAGCTCTCAGGCTCCAGACCAAGCTCGTTCCTGTGGCCTCCAATGCTGTAACAGCCCTGATCCTCTGCCCGTGTCTCCCCCACCCCCCATCCAGGCTCTGACACACATGCACACACACCCACCCCTGGCTCCGATGCAGGCCCTGACCCCTCTGCCTCCCCTTCACCCCCCTCCATCCAGCCATCCAGGCTGTGTCTCTCCCACTGGACTGTGACCCTCCTGAAGGCAGGGGGTCATGGTTGCTGCTGTGTCCCAGCACTGCCTAGCGTGGGGCCAGGCCCAGAGCAGGGACTCACTGGATATGTGTTGATATATAAATATAAAACTGAATGGTTTTATAACTCAGTGGTGCCTGCATGGACTGATGATTAAGAATTTGACATCAGAAGTCAGACAAACCTGAGTTTGAAACTAATGTTGCCACTTCCTGCCTATGTGGTCTTGGGCAAAGGTCTTCATTTCCCTAAGCCTCAGTTTCTCTCTTAAAGTCAGGGTGATGGTTCTTAACATCATAATCACAGCTAACGCTTACATAGTCACACATCTCTTAACGATGGGGATACGTTCTGAGAAATGTGACGTTAGGTGATTTTGTCATTGTGTGGACATCGTAGAGTGTACTTAACACAAACCCAGGTGGTGTAGGCCACTGCACACCTAGGCTCTATGGTACTCATCTTATGGGACCACCATCTTATATGCGATCGTCATTGACCGAAACATCATTATGCAGCATGTGACTGTACAGTATTTATTTGGGCGAAGTACTGTTCTGATCACTTTACCTGGGTTAAGTCATTTAATTCACCTAACTCTTACTCATTTAACCCACCTCTATGAAATGGATGCTGTGGTGATACCCATTTTACAGCTAAAGAAATCGAGGCTGAGTCAGTTGACTGAAGTGAGGTCACTTGCTTGGGCCCGTAGGACTTGTGACTTCTTGGTGCTTCTCTGGGCCTGAGTTTCCTCTGAAAACCCAGGACGTGATACCTCTCCAAGGAGACAGCACGGGGCGGTCAGCAGGGCCCCTGGAGCCTGGAGTGGGGGCTCAGTAGGAACCCAAGCCCTCCTTACCTTGGTTTCCCCACCCCGGTCCGCAGGGAGCAGCTCCCCGAGTCGGCTTACATGCACCAGCTCTTGGGGCTCAACCTTCTCTTCCTGCTGTCCCAGAACCGGGTGGCCGAGTTCCACACGGAGCTGGAGCGGCTGCCTGCCAAGGACATCCAGACCAACGTGTACATCAAGCACCCTGTGTCCCTGGAGCAGGTGAGCTGGAGGTGGGAGGCCTCGCTAAAGGACGCGGTGCAGGCACAGCATCAGGGAGGGTTTCCTGGAGGAGTGGGCGGGTCCACCCATCTTTCAGCCCGTGGACGCATTTGCTCATTTGTCCAACAAATATTAAGTCTCAGCCGTGTGCCAGGCACAGCGGTTGGTTTTCAGACTGTACGGTGAACAAAACAGGTAAATCCCTGCTCTTGTGGGGATGGCGCTCGGGTGAGGAGGCCGACAGTGAACAAAAAGGTCAGGTCACCTGTGTGGTCTGTCAGATGTGAAGTGCTCTGGAGGAAAAGAAAGCAGGAAGGAGTGGGGAGAGTCGGGGGCAGGGGTGAAATCGTTTATAAGGGGGTCAGGGAAGGCCTTGCTGGAAGGTGAAATTTGAGAAAGACTTGAAGGGGGTGAAGAACTGAACCACATGGACATCTCGGGGAGAGGGATCCAGGTGGAGGGGGCAGCCAGTTCCAGGGTCCCAAGGCAGAAGCACGCCCGCTGTGTTTGAGGGTAAGCGAAGAGGACAGTGTTTGTGAGACAAGGTGAGCAGTGTTGGGGAGGAGCCTTCATACTAAAGTTAGGAAGTAGTTCCTGGAGCTGAAGTCTCACGAGAAGATTTGGCTGTGGGGAGAGGATGAGGGGGAGGGCAGGTATGGCAGGAGGCACAGCTTGGCCAAAGGTGTGGAGGAATGGGCCTGGGGCAGATCCAGCTCTATCTTCCTCCTGGGATTGAAGACTAGATGGGATAATTAGATACCAGCCCAGAGCAGGCTTAGATTGTGTGTGTGCAAACCAAGGAAGGCTTCCTGGAAGAGGAGGTGCCCCCGTCTGCATGGGGAAAGGGTGACTGTATGGCACAGGGTGTTCTAGCAGAGTGGGGGTTACGGAGGTACTGGGAGGAGGGTGAGGCCTCTTCCTCATCCTCTCTTCCTCCCCACCGCGGCCTCTGCAGTACCTGATGGAGGGCAGCTACAACAAGGTGTTCCTGGCCAAAGGCAACATCCCTGCCGAGAGCTATACCTTCTTCATCGACATCCTGCTCGACACGATCAGGTGCGTGGGGGCCAGGCCCTGTGGGGTTCAGGAAGAACTCGGACCCTGGAGTCAGACAGCCCTGAGTTTGAATCCCGTTCTGGCCCCCTGTGCTCTGGGGAGCCCGGGCACATCAGTCCTCCTTTTCTGTGAACTGGGCCTGGTCACGAGATTGTGGGTGACAGCCCTCCCCGCCCTGGGCTGTTGATGTGTGCCGGTGTACGGCAGACCCTGATCCCGGGCTTGGTGCCCGGACGGCGCTTGGCAGATGAGGACCGTGCTGCCGCTCTTGGAGGTGCTCTAGCCCCTGAGCCGTGGGGCCTCGCCTCAGGTCACCTAAACTGTGGATCCCTCAGCTTCTCCTTCTTTAGAATGGGGCCATCGAGTCCCACTAGCCCCTCGGGTTGCTCTGTGCACGGTGACATCACATGGGCAGGTGGGCGTGACATTACAAGTCCCTAGAGGAGTAAAAGGGTGTCCAGGTGGCAGAGCTGGTTCACTCAGGCAAAGCGCCAGACTGAGATGGGTTTCTATTCCTCGGGTGGCAGAGCCGAGCCCAGAGACGTGGTGGGAGTGAGGAGGGGTCGTTTAGTGGGTTTAGGTTGTTTTTGATTATGAAGTATTTCAGCTCTCCAGAATGAACAGGGAGTAATATAATGAGTACCCACCTACCTACCACTTGGCCTGAGAGATAAGATATCTCAGAAATGGACGCATCCTCCCCAGAACTAACCCCTTCTCCAGTTTCAGTGACTCGATGCTCTTTCAGTATTTTTTTTTTTTTGTGAGGAAGATCAGCCCTGAGCTAACATCCATGCCAATCCTCCTCTTTTTTTTTTTTTTTGCTGAGGAAGACTGGTCCTGGGCTAACATCCATGCCCATCTTCCTCCACTTTATATGGGACGCTGCCACAGCATGGCCTGACAAGCAGTGCGTTGGGTGCGCGCCCGGGATCTGAACCTGGGCCGCCAGTAGCGGAGCGTGTGCACTTAACCAGCTAAGCCACGGGGCTGGCCCTGCTCTTTCAGTATTGATCATGATGCCTCTTGACAAGGGTGCAAGGAACCCCCTTGGATTCACATCTAGAAATGGGGTGCAGCACCATTGTAGAGGGGTGTTATGTGAAGAGATCGCTCATGGGAATCCCAGGCTGGGTTTCAGACAGCCTGAAGTCCTCGTGGCTGCGAGTAGGATTCAGAGTTTGGGCCTGGGAGTCCGGGAGATCTGGGTGTGGACCCTGCTGTGGCCCTCGCTGTGCAACTCTGGTCAAGCTTCTCCCTGGCTCTCTGAGCCTCGATCGGTTAAACAGGGCAAGTAGCAGGTTCCAGCCATCACGCTGAACTGAAGGGTCAGGGCTCACACATGTCAGGGAGACAGGGCCTGGAGGGTTGTTGGTGCTCAGTAATGAGACCCTCATCTTCCCCAGGGATGAGATTGCTGGGTGCATCGAGAAGGCCTATGAGAAAATCCTCTTCGCTGAGGCCACCCGGATCCTCTTCTTCAACACACCCAAAAAGATGACGGACTACGCCAAGAAGGTGGCTGGGGTGCAGGGCACGGGGCCATGGGGCTGAGGGTACCCTCCCTGACAGCAGTGTGGGGTGGCCTGGGGGACACTGGAGCAAGACTGCCCGTGTTTAAATCCAGCCGTGTGACCTCAGGCAAGTCGCTGAACTCCTCTGAGCTTCAGTTTTCCCATCTGTGGGATGAGGCTAGGATTTAACCTGTGGGCTGAGCCTAGCATAGCACCGGGGACGAGTGGAGGGGGTCGCTCAGCGCACGTTGGCTGTTGTCCTTGTCAGAATTCCTTGGAGCTGCAGCTTTTCCCCACAAGCCTTTGCTTCATTTGGTCTGGGGTGTTGGTGCAGGATCAGTGCCCCTGGAGATGCTGATGCATGGGGGTGCAGTGACCCTGGTGACGAGGGAGGTTGACACCAGGCTGGAAGAGGTGAAACTGAACTTGGGTGATGGTGACGGCTGATATTTAGTGATCGTTTACTCGGCCAAACACGCTTCTCAGTGCTTCAGAGGCGTTGATTCACTGACTCCTCATAGCACACCCCGGGAGGTGTATGCTGAGGGTCCCTGTCTCAGACACGGAGAAACTGAGGCACAGAGAGGGGAAGCCACTCGCCTAGAGTTGTGCGGGCAGAGTAGGGCTGGTGAGGGAAGGGAGCCAGGGCCCACAGAGGTCAGTGCTGGCCCTGTGGGGTAGGGAGGGAGCCCGTGTGGTCACCCCGCCCATCTCACCCCTCCCTTCCTGCAGCGCGGGTGGGTCCTGGGCCTCAACAACTACTACAGCTTTGCCAGCCAGCAGCAGAAGCCAGAAGACACCACCATCCCCTCCACGGAACTGGCCAAACAGGTCATCGAGTACGCACGGCAGCTGGAGATGATCGTCTGAGTCCCGGGCTCGGGGTGGGGCAGGGCTTACATTATTTAAAGCAGTGGCAGTCTAGGGTCCCCTCCAATAAAGGTGGATTCACATTCTCTCTCCGAGGCCCTTGTCTCCCCGGGTGGAATGGTGGGGAGACACATTCTCATCTCGGAAGAACTGGGAAGTTTGGGGGCCCTCGTGGGTCTGAGATAACCCTGGGTCTCATCTGCCTCTGTCCAGTGGCCATTGCTCAAGGTCTCGCATACAGATGCCCACGCAGGGGCCCAGTGGCGGCGCTGTGGCCTGCGGGAGAGCCAGGCCCTGGGGGGAGGGACCGTTGCAGCCAGCTGTGGACACACACAGGAAGGCCAGGCCAAGGCACTAGAGTTTTTCAGTGAAGGGGGTGAAGGGTCCTATTTTTAAAAATGTTTGCAATGAATTAAACTGGTTTTGTAAATGACATACGAAATAGAACCCGTCTGTGGGCTGCCAGTTTGAGACCTTGGTGGGACGAAAGGCATGGGCCCTGGGTAGCCTGGCGCTGGTTCCCACCCTTCCTGAGCCAGGGCTGAGACCTAGGACTTCCTGTGCTGTCCAGCCTGCGTTTCCTGCCTTGAAGTTCTCCAGGAGGCATTTAAGGCAGAGTCCAAATCTGGCTGAGCCATGTGTGGGATTTTCAAGAATGTTTTCCAGAGTCAGTTTCCTCGGCTATAAACTGGGAATGATCACTCCTGCTTTCCAGTGATGTGTGCTGGACCCCAGAGCTTGGCACCAGATCGGCTCAGAAATGGGGCTGATGGCGTTAAGGGGAATGAGACCATCTCACCCCTGGCCCGTCAGTCTGGATGCTGGATGAACGGAACCTCTGTTACTGCTGCTCTGCGTGTAGCCTCCTTATGTTGCCAGGATGTGGTGGGTTCATGGAGACCGCTGCCCTGCCCTGCCCCACCCCTTCACCCCTTCGCAGGTGACTGACCGGTAGCTAGGCATCTGGATGTTCTTTTATTGTCAAGGAGGGGAAGGCGGAGGGCATCGCGCAGACTGGCCTCAGTTGGAGTGGGTAGCCTGCAGGTCGTAGTGTTCCAGCCCCGCCACCAGGGATCCAGCCAGCTTGATGGTGGCGACCCAGGGTGGCTCGCTCAGGTGGTTAGTGGGCGTGCTCAGCCTAGGGGAGGGTAGAGTCAGCAGGGCCTGCTGTGTGGCCAGGCCCTGACCCCTTCTAGGCTTCACTTGCCCCATCTGTATAAGGGGCCGCATCTGAATATCCCAGAGGCAATCTAGGGCAGGGCTGTATCCACTTAAACTTAGTAGGAAAGGGGGCTGAGGGTTGGTGACAGTGTCCCCCACCCCAGGCCTTAGCTGAGCCCCAAGGGGTCCAGGGCAGAGGGTGTCCCAGTGATTCAGACAGACCCTGGTGCCCAGATGCTGAGATTCAGTGTGTGTGTGGGGGGGACCTGGAGGATGCTCTGTGTTCCTTCTCACCCTGCCATCTGAGGACCCAGGAGTAGGCTCTGCAGCTCAGGAACTGGGGCACCAGTGCCCTCTGGCGGTCAGAGCCCTGGGTCCCAGAGTCGGGAGAAGTTGCCGGGAGGCTGGAGGGAGGGGTCAGCAGGCTGAGGGACTAGGCCAGGGGCTGCCTTTGGAGCCCTGCGTGTATACCGGTTTGGTTCCGGTAGACATCTCCTCCCCTCTCATCTCTTAAGAGCTTGGGACATGGGCCCTCTTGGTGCCCTCAGGGACAGGGTCAAGGCCCTGAACAGGGTCGGGCCAGCTGGGACCAGCTTCCTTCCCTGATGGCTCCATCGAGTAACAGGAGGGCCAAGGTCAGCTTGGCGGACTGGATAGCAAGGGCTGGGCCCTGCCAGGGGTCAGTATAGTGTCAGGACTCCTCTTGGTCCTGAAGGATTGGAGCTCAGCTGGGTTCGGGGAGGGTCAAGGGTCAGCTGGGGTCCGAACCCCAAAGGGCTGAATGGGAGTCTACCCGGGAGAGTCGGGTTCCCACTCCTAGGGTTATTCCTGGAGGCCCTCCCCTCCCTGCTTCCCGACCTCCCCTCACCAGGCAGACACGTTGCGTGGCAGGCGACGATGGCGCGGCTGGTGGCGGCAGTAACACTTGCAGGGACAAGAGTTAAGCACCTGGAAGGGCGGCCAGTGGCGCGCAGCGCCCGTGTTAGCCGTCCCCGCCGGAGGAGCCCCGCCGCCACCACTCCCTGCAGCGCCGCTGTCAGTCACGGTAGCCGCGGTCTGTTCGCGAGGACCATCTCCAGGCGCGCCGTTCTCGCGGGTCGCGCCCCGGGCTGCGCGGGAACCCTTGTTCCTGCGCGTGCGGGCCTTGATGGGCGCGGGCGCGGGCGGTGATGGCTCGGCCGTAGTTGGAGCTGGAGCCGGGGATGGGGCCCCAGCCGGAGGTGGGGCTGGGTCCGAGGCCCGGGCTGGGGCCTGCTCGGCAGCCACGGCGAGGGGCACAGCGGGAGACGGGGCGGGAGCCAGGGCCGACTCCAAGTGGCCCGGGCCTGGGTTGGGCGGGAGCGCCGCGGGCAGCGGCGTCGGCTGGAGCACGGGCGGCTGCGGTGTGGGCGGTGGCTGAGGTGTGGATGGCGGGGCGGGAGGTGGCGTGGGCGGTGCCTTGGGCGGCGGCGGTGGCGGCGGCTGCGACTCCTGCGGGCCCGGAGGCCCGGGGCGCACGGGCTTGCCATTGGTGGGCGCCGGGAAGATAAACATAGGCGGCGCCAGCAGGGCGGGTGCGGGCCTCCGGGGCCCGGGAGCGGGGTGCATCTGCCCTGGCAGAGGCGGCGGGGAGCCCCAGGGACCTGGGAGCGCGGCCGCGCGCCGTCGGGGCGACCCGACGCCTCCGCTGGCTCCGTTAAAGCGGAAGTGGCGTTCAGGGTCCTCGGGAGGGCTCACCCAGTCAAATTTGGGCTTCGAGCCTGGGAAGGTGGTGTAGGGTGGTGGCGGAAGGGTCCCGGCGTGGGACGCAGGCGCCGAGGGGCGTCCAGAACACCCCTCGCCGTCTCCATCACCGCCCTTTGCTTCCTGAGTCCCCCGAGGGACCTCTCCCGAGGGGCGAGCGGCCCCAGGAGCCAGGCGCCCCTGCTTTAGGACCTCGGCGTAAGAGATGGCGCCCGAGGTGGCGGAGAAGTGTCTTCCGCCTCCGCCGCCCCCGGGCGAGGCTTTGGTCGCTGAGGGACTCGACGCTGCCGCAGGGGGCAGAGGGGGTCCCAGCTTGAAGGTGACTTTACACAGCAGGCTCAGGCCGGGCTCGGCGGCCGCAGGCCGGGCCATTTCGCCCTCGCCGGCCTGGGGAGCCGCCCCTCCGCGGGCCCCGCCGGCCGTCTGGCCTTCGCTGCCGTGCCCCGCCTGGCTTTCTGCAGGGGCGGCGGCGGGTGTGGCCAGAGCGGGGGCGATTCTGCGCTCCGGGAGCTGCCAGTCGGAAGGTGGCGGTGGCGGCGGCTTCCACGGCTCCACGGGCGGCGGAATCGGGGTTGGGGCCCTCGGGACAGAGTTGCGGTTCTCTTCTGTTAGTTGCCGGGGCGGCGGCGGCAGCGGGCGCAGATTCGGAGGGTCGCCCTGGCCGCGATGGGTCACCTCCAGCAGACTGCGCATTCGGGGCACCGGAGTGCCCGCGGGTTTTCGCCACTTAGACGGCGCGGGCATCAGGCTCCCCACGGGGGGCGAGGGTGGTGTGGAGACCGCGGCCGCAGCCGCCTCCTGAGAAGGGGGCGTCACTGGCGAGGGCAGTTCTAAGGTCAGGGGCAGGGTTGAGGGTGAGGCCTGGGGCTCCGGGGGCACCAGGAGTCCCGGGGGCGCGGAGCTGCCGGGGAACCAGACGCCCAGCCCGCGAGCCAGGCGCATGGCCGGGGAGGAGGGGGTGACCTCGGGCTCCTCCAGGGACGTCCGGCGGGAGTGGGAGGAGCGGTCTGAGGCCTGCTCTTTTCGGGAGCCCCCGCCTGCGGACGGCTCCGACTGCACGTTCCCCATTTCTGACGGAGGTCGGGGACTGTAGTCAGAAAAACTTCCGCCAGTCAGTCTGCCAGGTATGTGGGGACCCCCACGAAGCTGGCTGTACTTGGTCCTACCCATCCGCACGGGCCCCGCCCCTGTCTTCCAAGATCCACTCAGGCAATAGTCTCTAGCTGCATTCCTGTTGCCCGACTCTCCCCACTCACGCCTCCATCACCGTGGCCCCACACAGCTGCTGTTCAGACACTTAGGCCCCATCATCTTAGTGTACTAAGGTTCGGTCTCTGTCCCCCTGGCTGGTCCCTCAGATCACATCCCTACACTTGCGTCACGCCCTCAGTCTCCAAGACACAAGTCTTGCCTGCTTCCCTGTCAGTCACGCAGGCCACATCACTCATGATGGTGGTACTCAGTAGCCTATACGGCCTACAAGGAGTTCAAGCTTCTCTCCCTGCACTTTAACCCGGCTCCGGAGGCCCAGGCCCCGCCCCCGCCCCTGGTCCCGCCCCCGTTGTCAGGGAATCGGGCCTCATCGACCACCCCGCCAGGTCTGGCCCCGCCTCCGCCTAAGTCATACCCGGTATTCTTGTCCTGCTAACCCCTCAGTCCTCACCAATAACCCTCCAGTCCTTCTCTCTCTGTCCATCACTTGGGTGAGGTCCAGCCCTCCGGAAAGAGGCAGATCCTCAGGCCTCGCTCCTAAACTCCCGCTCCGGGTCTAGCCGCAGGCCTCAACGCTCGGACCCCACCTCCCTCCCCAAGCTCCGCCCCAGCCCCGCCTTGGCCCAGACGGTCCCACTCACCGACTCCTCCAGCCGACCGAAGATCAGACGGCGGCCCCCTGGGCCCAGGGCAGGGCGGGGAACGGCCGTAGCAGAAAATAACCGAAAAGAACGGGGGTGCGGGTGAAGACAGGTGGGCGAGCCAGCGAGGGCGGACCCCGAGATCTAGGCCCCGCCCCTGGGCTCGAGGCCCCGCCCTCCTGTGAGCCGGCTTGAGTCCGGCCCACTACGAACCTGGATCTCCCTTTGAAATACTACACCGACGTCTTCTTCCCCGCCCCCAGGCCTGGAGCCCTAGTCCCACCCCTTTAGAACGTTCTCCTTGGCTCCGCCCCTTTACAATGCTCCGCCCCTCTTCGTTCGTTCTTCCCCCGAAGCTCCGCCCATTACGAACAAGGCTACGTAGCTCCACCCTCTTGGGGTCTTTCATGCGCCCCGCCCCTACGACAATTTACTTCTAAACTTCGCCCTTTTAGGACCCCGCAACATCTCTTCCCAGGACCCTCTCCTCCCTCGGGCCCGCCCAGAAGGCCCGTCCACGCGGACCCGCCCCTCCATGACGCACGCGCGGGTCCGCGCCTTCGGCGTCCTCACCCTCTCCTTCCCAGGTCCTCCGACCCCGCCCCCTGGCGATGCTTCCTCCTCGCCCCACCCCTTTTCGAACCCTGCCGGGCGCCCAGCCCCTCCCATTGAGAACCCTAGGCGTGGACCCTCGCCGCGTTAGAACCTTGAGACCAGGCCCTGTCCCCGACCCCTTCCCCACATCCTCAGGAACCAATGGCGCAGATGGGTGGGAAAGTAGGGGGTCCTCTCTGGACCCTGAGAAAATGGGGGCTGGGGGGCTGGAGCCAGTGCCGGGCTCTAGGACCCAGCGGGCAAGTGCGCCCGCCCTGCGCTCACCCCTCCCCCAAGCCGCCCCCTCCCCCCCACCCGTCTTCCAGGTTCCCCCTCCCTCCCCCCTCGCCCCGGCTCCCGGTGCCCGTCTCTAGCGCCGCCGGAGCCAGCGAGGGAGCCGGAGCGACAGGAGGAGGAGGAGGAGGCCACGTCGCCGCCGCTCGGAGCCCGGCCGGAGCCTCCCAGGCAGGTGCCGAGGGGGCGAGGGGGCGGGGGCTGACCGACCGCCTGTCACGGTGAGGGGGCGGCCAGGACCGCGCTGCGCCTCCTGCCCACCGGGGCGCCCCCCAGACCCTGGCTGGAAGGACAAGGGGGTGGGGGCCCCTAAACTGCGCGGCAGCCATTTGGGGTACCAGTCTCCATTTGGGGGGCCTGGACTTCCTCCGAGGACGACCCATTCATAAATTTCCGTACTGGACCCCCACCAATGAAGAACTCTGGGGATCACTCTCCCCGGGAAACATGTGTGGGGAGCGTAGGGCACCCAGAAATCCCGGCGTCCCATCCCAACTAGGCCCTGCGGGGACCCCTGCCCTCTTTCTCGGCTTCACCTGTTGTCGGCGGAGGCGGGCGGACAAAGGAAGCAGCATCACGTGACTGCTCATTCACAAAAATCCCATCCCATTGAGAAAAGGGGGCTGGGGGCGCTGCGGCCGCCCCTTCCCCTCCCCAAGGGCCGGGGAAACCCGGCAGCCTGCAGGTGGGGGAAGGGGCTAGAGCTCGTTGCCTGGGTCCCTAAGGCTGGGACGCCAGGGTCCCTGCGCTAGGTGGTAGTGAGGGGCTGGCTGGACGCTAATCCCAATTACTGGGCGGAGGGCTACGTCCCCTAAGCTGGGGGGCGGGGTAAGATGGTTCTGAAGGATGCTGGGGCGGGGAGGGAGAGGAGGAGGGATCAGCACCCCTCCTTCCGTCAATCTCTCCCCCTTGCCTTCCCTCGGCTGAGGCCTGAGGGAGCAGGCTTGATTTTTGTGAATGAAATGCTCTCTGGATGTGTCTGGGTCTCCCGTTTCTGGCTTCTTCTGCCTCCATCTCCCTTTCGGCCTCTCTCTGCCATTTCTGGTTCTCTCCCTGCTCCTTGCCCATCTCCCGTTGCTCGGTGACTCAGTGAGCTTTGCATCCGGTCTCATTCATAAATCCGGGAAGGGGTGGGGGGAAGAGAGCCTGGGTTTCTCACCCAGCCAGTGGCCTGGGCAGCCAGGTGCGGAGGCAGTGTAGGGAGGACTGGAGCTGAGCTGATGGGCTCTAAGAAAATACATATGCGCAGGCACCCAGCTGTGAGGGGGAACCATGGGTGGGGCTGTGGGTATGTGCTGAGGGAGAAGAAGGCGACAGGGTTGATAGGGGATGAACAGGAGGGGGAAGGGAAGTGGAAAACCGAGGCTATGGGAGCGGGGACGGGAAGGATGGGGAAAGGAAGGAAAGGTGGGTATGAAGAGAAAAGGTAGATATGGAGAAGAAGGTAGGCATGGGAGAAAAGAGATGGCGTAAGGAAGAAAGAAGCCATGCTAGAAGAATGTGGGCATGGGGGAGAAGGTGGGCATGAGGGAGAAGGTGTAGATGGGGGAGAAGGAGTGGATGGGAGAGAAGGTGTAGATGAGGGAGAAGGTGTAGATGAGGGAGAAGGTGTAGATCGGGGAGAAGGTGTGGATGGGGGAGAAGGTGTGGATGGGAGAGAAGGTGTAGATGAGGGAGAAGGTGTAGATGGGGGAGAAGGTGTAGATGGGGGAGAAGGCATAGATGGGGGAGAAGGAGTGGATGGGGGAGAAGGTGGGCATGAGGGAGAAGGTGTAGATGAGGGAGAAAGTGTGGATGGGAGAGGAGGTGTAGATGAGAGAGAAGGTGGGGATGGGAGAGAAAGTGTAGATGGGGGAGAAGGTGTAGATGGGGGAGAAGGTGTAGATGGGCGAGAAGGTGTGGATGGGGGAGAAGGTGTGGATGGGAGAGAAAGTGTAGATGGGGGAGAAAGTGGGGATGGGAGAGAAGGTGTAGATGAGGGAGAAGGTGTAGATGGGCGAGAAGGTGTAGATGAGGGAGAAGGTGTGGATGGGAGAGAAAGTGTAAATGGGGGAGAAGGTGTGGATGGGGGAGAAGGTGTGGATCGGGGAGAAGGTGTGAATGCGGGAGAAGGTGTGGATGGGGCAGAAGGTGTGGATGGGGGAGAAGGTGGGCATCGGGGAGAAGGTGGGCATGGGGGAGAGGGGTGGATCGGGGAGAAGGTGGGGATGGGGCAGAAGGTGGGCATCGAGGAGAGGGTGGGGATGGGGGAGAAGGTTGGCATCGGGGAGAAGGTGTGAATGCAGGAGAAGGTGGGGATGGGGCAGAAGGTGTGGATGTGGGAGAAGGTGTGGATGGGGGAGAAGGTGTGGATCGGGGAAAAGGTGGGCATTGGGGAGAAGGTGGGCATGGGGGAGAAGGTGGGCGTGGGGGAGGCATGGATGGGCAAGAAGGTGTGGATGGGGGAGAAGGTGGGGATGGGGGAGAGGAGTGGATTGGGGAGAAGGTGGGGATGGGGCAGAAGGTGGGCATCGAGGAGAGGGTGTGTGTGGATGGGGGAGAGGTGGGCATCGGGCAGAAGGTG